GCAGTGACTGTGCGGCTCAGGTGGGGTGGGCGTGGGTGTGGCCACCGAGGGCGCCCTGACCGGTGCTGGTGGCCTGCATTTGCGCCTGTGTTAAAGCACGTAGAGCTACATATGTTAAAAGTCAGCTTTATGTATAAATTAAGAAGCTCAACATAATGGGTCTTATAACACAGACTTAAAAATTTCTTTCTACTCAGGTGAATTCCATGCTGGAATATCTGGTATCATCTGGGATTTTTATGCCAATGGATTGTTTTTATCCTGGATTAAAAATTTTATACTCACCGGTCATTTGGGAATTTGTGGCTTCTGCTGGCCACTGTGTTGACCGGTGAGTCCCCAGCAGAGGCTGAGGCAGGGTGGCCTCACGGGTCCTATGGCTCTGTTGCAGGTGAAGCAGGTGGAGGCAGGGACAGTGCAGTTCCGGTTCTCGCTGAGCCCACAGGACACGGCTGAGGTGCGCTCCCAGGGGCCCTTGTTGGAGCGGTCAGAGCAATCGGAACGGCAGTTGTGCAAGAGGCCCTTGACACCCCCCACAGGTGAGCAACACCCCCCACAGGTGAGCGGTCCCCACGGTCTGGGCTGGGTTCCCAAGCGCGTGGCACAGCCAGAGCGGTGTTGCCGCGTTGACTGGTAATGGACTTTGGACAGTGTGGTGCTGCCTGTCCCAGTGCCTGTCACCTGTGCCCCACTCGGGCGTCCTGCGGACCCGGCCCGACCGTCGGGTTGGTGATGACCATGATGCCAGCTCAGGTTTGTGCTCTCGGTGGGGCATCTCCAGCCACCTGGAAGCAGGGTACAGGACTTGGTCTCGCTGTGCAGCCCAGGCTGGCCCCAGGTGTAGCTTTACGGAGGAGAGATGGGACGGGTATGAGCGGAGGGACAGTGCCAGTGTCCAGCATGGAGATGGATGCACAGGTGTGTGATGTGGAGAGTTGCGGCTGGCTGTCCCCTGGGCTTGGAACATGAGCCTGTAAGGGAGTCTGCCGTGGTGACGGAGCCAGAGGAAAGGGCGGCCTCAGAGCCTGCCTGCATGGCTACAGCCTGGCCTGGGCTCAGGAGCCCTCCCTGTGGGAAGACCAGGGTGGACCGCGTGGCCAAGTCAGGACAGCCCAGGAGTCCTGGCACGAGGTGCCTGGGCTCTGCCCCTTCGGCTGACTCTCTTCAGGAGTTGAGATTGCAGTTTGCAGAAACTGATCTTGTTCAGTGTGAATTTCTGAGGGTGCAGCGCTCATGGTGCGCCAACTCGTGTTTTTCTGACCTGGAATTTTCTGAGCTTGCTGACAATATTCAGTGAGCTTAATATTCCCTGAACCTAAGTTGATTGTGTTGGGACAGACCATGTCATAGTTTGTCCTTCCTTTCATAGCAGTGGCTCTGCTGGCTTTCACTGTTCTGTCTTTTTGGTTCTGGAATTTTATGCATAGCAGATTGTCCTCTGGATTCCGTTTCCCCTGAGTGTGCCCCAGGCCCATGGATAAGGGGCCCCAGTGCGGCTCCCTTGCCTCCGAGGGGCAGCCGGTTGTCTGTGGGAGCCGCTCGCGAAGGGCGTGCAGGCACCTTCCGGCCAGAGTCATTTCAGATGCGGTGTGAACTCCGCTAATGTCCTCTGTGCAGCTCCAGCGTCTTTGCGGGCTCCAGGCCTGTGCTGAAGCTTGTTTTTGCATCCATGTGTGACAGTGTTCCGCATCCGTGGGGTGCAGTAGCCGCACACACGGGTAACTCGGGTGCCTGGGATCTGGAGGGCCATGTGTGCAGGCTCCGGTGGTGCCCTTTCTCTGTGGCAAAGACATTTGGAATCTGCCTCCGTCTTCTAGTGTGTCGTTAACCGCGATCACTCTGTGCAGCAGCATCCCAGGCTTAGTCCTCCTGCCTTGCTCCCACCTGGTACCCAAGACTCCCCTCCCCAGGCCGGGGCTTCATGCCTTTCCTGAGTTTCGGTACCCCACGCCCCGTGTTCTCTGGACTCTGTTTCCCCCACTCACTGCGTTTACTTTCTTTTGAGATGACGATGATGATCATGATGATGATTGTTTGTCTTTCTGAGACCGGATCTCGTTATGCAACTCAGGCTGGCCTTGAGCTCACTTTGTAGCCCAGGCCGGTCCTGAACTTGCAGCGATCCTCCTGCCTCAGCCTCCTGAGTGCTGGGATTATAGGCGTGCACCACCAGGCCCGGCTTCTTTTGAGATTTATTTTTAAGCAGTCCTAGTAAGAGGTGGCTGGGCTGACTGTGCAGGAGGAAGGGTTCATCCTTCTCGATTTGCAGCCTTCACTGTGAAGTGACGGTAATAAGAATGCCGTGGGATCGGTCCTTAGCTGGGAAGATAAAGCCGGGCCGGGAGGAGTGTCCGGAAGGCGTGCCTGCATGTCTTGCTGCTGCTCCGACAGGTCACCTCCGTCACAGTGACCTCGGACAGTGCAGCCTCATTTTCTGATGGCCCTGAAAGTCCACAGCCCCACAAGGCTCTCAGAGGCTGCGCCCGGGTCTCCCCAGGCTGCATCCCCCCACCCCCTCGCGCTTCTCTAGCACTGCCTGCTCCCCCGTGGGAGCTGTGGTGTTGGGCCAGCTCCGGCCAGCACCATGTCCGTGTCGGAAGTCAGTGCCTCGGCAGCCTGGCGTTCCTTGGCGGTGCGGCCAGCAGGTTCTGGGCCTGGGGTGGGCACGGACACTCCTCTACCGCAAGGCACGGCCAGTTGTCCGTATGGAAGATGGGAAGTTCAGGCCTAATTTCATAGCAAGCACAGAATAAATTCCAGATGCATTAAAAATGCCTCAAAATTGAAATATTTTAAATTTAGAATTAGATTAGAAAGAAGGATTATAGAAAAAGTTTCTTCAAATCAATACCAGGGAGAGGAGGAAAGAAAATCAAACATAGGAGAGGAAGAGGACCTGTGCAGAACATGAATCAGAGCAAGCACTAAGTGTCTGCAAACGTGCCCAGCCTCAGAGCGATCAGGAAGATGCACCCTGAAGCAGGGAGCCTGGGCCCTCTCCCTCCCAAGCTGTCCAGTGGCGCAAAGACGGGTGTGTGTGTGTGTGTGTGTGTGTGTGTGTGTGTGTGTGTGTGTGCGCACGCGAGCTCGTCCTGAGGCCTGAAGTGCGAGTCTGGGTGCTGCTAGAACAGCTGCTTCGCCTGTGTGGCGCCGTGCTTAGCGCTGCGCACGGACTCTCGTGGTCAGGGACTCAGAGCACCGCCTGTGCGCCTCAGTTTCCTCATCTGTGGGGGGGGCGGCAGAGGCAAGAGCTGCACGTGAAGAACAAAGGTCAAGAAAGTTGAAGAATATTTTCATGAAATCGGAGAATATTGTTACACCCTGGGGTCAGGGGGACTTTCTTGAGCAAAATGGACAAAACACCAACAAAAAGAAATATATGACTGAGAAATAGTGACACTAAAATATAGGCTAGCGCTAGTGCAAGGTTGTGAGTTCGATTCCTGGTAAACTGCAAATGTGTAAAATTTTTTTAAGTAAGCAGTACACTGATTTATTTTGTTTATTTTTGGTACCAGAAAAGCTCTGTAAAACTCTCATAGACTCAAATAAAAATACAAATAAATGATAAAAAAAAAAAAAACCCTCTCATAGAGAAGATTGTATAAAGAAAGAAGACCAGAGACCAAAAGGCACTGGCCAGGCATACAGCCAAAACTAGTTGGAAGAATCAGGTTAGAAAAAAAATTGTAGACAGCTCCTTAAAATCAGTGAGAAGGAGAAAAAGCAGAAGAGTGGGCGGCAGGGCTGTGGGGCCCTCGGGGCAGGGGGGCCGGCGCCCAGGACTGTGGGCTCCGGCAAAGGCCTGGCCGCAGTGGTGGCCCCTGCAGGGTGAGACATCGATAGCGGGGCAGCCACGTGTACGTGGGGACGGGGCAGGCAGGACCTCTGAGCCTTCTCGGCATCGCCAGGACCTGAATAACTGCGCCAAAAGTATCCGGCTGCATTTCCCCCCAAGTAAGCCCTAGCAGGTGGTTACGGTGGCCAGCGTCCTGTAGATGTTACCTCTCTGTCCTCTTGCTTGGTGGCCTGTGTAGCAGGTGAGGCAAGGACAGGCCGGTTGCGGCTGGCGGTTTTGATCTCTAGTCTTCAAGGCTGTTAGGTCTTATTTTCGGGGATTCATGATGTTAAAAACTAAAGACAAAGCAGGGCAGAGCGATAGAGAAAGCTGTGTGTGGAGCTGTGCTGCGGTGCCCGCCGCTCTCGGTGCTGGGACTTCCATTTGCAGTTGAGGTGCGGAGCCAGCATTATTTTCCTGTCAAAGCCAAATCGTGTTTCAGGCTTCATGGACTGGTGATCTCCGTCAGAGGTATTTGGAAGCCATAAGGTGACAGAAAAAAGGAATGGATCTGGCTGTTTCCCAATAAACCTTTATTTACACCTTTTGGCCTGGGGGCCGTGGTCTGCAGAGCCCTGTGGTTCTTTTGTGGCCTTTCTCAGGAGGCAGGCTCCTGTCTTCCTGGCTGCTCACATGGTCCAGATGGGGGACAGATGCCCCGTCCTGGGGCTGGGGAGAGCTGGCCTGCGATACCAGCAGAGCCGGCGGCCTTGTGCAGGGCTTTGGCAGCCATTTAATTTCTTCTTAGGACTTGGTCTGTTCATGTCCTTCCCCTCATCTTATGCTCCTCTCGGAGTAATTATCCTGTCGAGAAAATGGCCAGCCTGGGGCTGGGGAGCTAGCTCAGCGGTGTAGGCACCTGCCTGGCATGCACAAGGTCCTGAGTTCGATCCTGGCACCCAAAGCTTTTTCTCCTCTTCAGAGATGTAGCGAGGAGGTGGTGTCCGCTCCCGCCCTTGGCCACGTGTCCGTGTGGAGCTTCCTTCCCAGTGTCCCCCGCCCCCAAGTTGAACCTCTTCCCCTCTGGGCAGGCTGACCCCAGTGCGGCTGCGTCCCCCATCTCATCTGAGGAGCCGCTCTCAGCTTTCCTTCTCGGTTCTGCTCTTCAAATCCCAGATCTTACCTTTATTTCTAGTTAGCATCAGCCGTACGTGCTCCTGTTTTTAGTGCTGTCTTCTCAATTTCTTCAAAGTTTAAATAAGTCGAATTCTTAGCTTTCTTTTGACTCAGTAATAAAACATCTAAGGTTTTACAGTTCTTCTCTAAGGATAGCTTCAACCCTGTTCCGCAATTACAGACTTCAATTTTTTTCCTTTCTCATTGCTGGGGTGCAGACTCAGCATGGTGTCTAGTGTGGAGCTCCGTCCCCAGCCCGCTCCCTTTTCACTTATAGTTTGGAAGTGATTTTACAGAGTCCCACATTCAAGCAACATAGATCTGGTAAATGTTTCTGGCCTTTTCTTATGGAAACATCTATTAAGCCCAGCCCGAGGCTCTTGTACATGGAAGACCTTTCTCTTTAGCTTCCCACAGCCCTGTGTATTTATTGTATATAACAGCGTGTTTACTTTTCTCCTGTCCCTCATTTCCTTGGAGTGTATTGGTCAGATTTGCTAGGTAACAAATAATCCCCAAATCTCAATGGTTTAAAGCAAAGCAGCTCCTCTCTTACTGCACAGTGGCTGTGGTTAGAGGTGGCTT